AGGTTAAAACTAATTGCAACGTAAGTTGCAACATTAAAAGTTGCAACATATTAATTACAGTTCCCATCTTTAGTTTAAGACTTATATAATAATGCAAAAATGATCTTCCAGCTAAAGGATCATTAACAATTCATCTTTTTCAGATAATGAAAATAATATTTTTAAAGCCTTAAAAAGTAATGTAAATGATATAGAAAATAATAATAATAAGATTAAATTTTATTACAAAAAAAAATTGGATTAAAGGATGATCTATTAAAATGGTGGTCAGTTCATAAGACTATTTTACCAATTTTGACACAAATTGTAGGAAAATATTTATCCATTCCTGCAACTTCAGTTCCAAGTAAACGATTATTTTTCAGACAAGATAATCTATTTCTGCTAAATAAACTCATTTATCTTCAGATTTAGTAAAAGAAATGTTATTTTAAAAGAGGAATAGTAAGCATTTTGGATTTTTAGCTTAGGCTTAAAACAGGTTTTTCAAAAATAGAACCTCTGCTTCGTAATTAATTTATCATTAAAAACAATTTTGTATACCTGCGTCTTTGTGTTTTTAATTCTATTTAGTGAATTTTTAATTCTATTGTTACATTTAACCACAATAGGAAATAATTTACTTAATAAATTTATAATTCATGCATATAAATTTATAAAATTTCTTAAATTTCTTTTCCATTTTACATTTGAAAATGGAAAAACGTCGCGTCGCTATTATTGGAGCCGGTAAATAATGTGTATTTTTGCTTTCCTGTATATAAAATTATTATTACATTATAATCAATAATTTGATTGTTTAATCCAAAGGCCCTTCTGGTCTCACGAGTATCAAACAATGTCTTGATGATAATCTCGAACCTGTTTGCTTTGAAGCATCTGATCACACTGGTGGTCTTTGGCGTTATATGGAAGTGAATGAGAAAAATAAGGATCCACATTCTTCTATTTACCAGAGCGTTGTCATTAATACTAGTAAAGAAGTGGTAATGAAAAAATTTTTTTCTATTCTTAATCACTATCATACATCTAAAATGAGTTACTTTTTGACAGATGGCTTTCACTGATTTTCCTGTTCCTTATGAGTGGCCATCGTTTTTGCATAACAAATTCGTTGTTAAGTAAGCTTTTATTTGACAAATTTTTTTTTTAATCGAAAACATATTTGCACGTGATACTTATCATTATACATTAGATACTTTGATATGTATGCGGAAAAATTTAAACTTTTACCATATATCAAATTTAATTCTCCAATTCAACGCTTGTCAATTCGTCCCGATGATCGATGGAATGTCCGTTATTTAAATAAAGATAATAATGAAGAACATGAAGAAATATTTGATTATGTAATGGTTTGTATTGGACATCATCGTTATCCAAGAACTCCTAAATACATTGGAATGGATAAGTTCACCAATAAACAAATACATTCTCATTTATATCGTCGGTAAGTATCTTCTTATATGTGTATTCTGAACTTCACTTTTTTTCCAATTATGCCATCATCAACATGATCATATGTAGTGCTAGCGATTATGAAAATAAACGTGTTCTTGTTGTAGGATGTGGAAATAGGTAATGAAAAGTTTTAAGTAACATATTTTATTTTATTTTTTACCGAATGATTAATATCGACCTTTATCTTTTCTTTTAAAATCTCACTTTGCACGTTTAGTGGGATGGACATTTCAGTTGAATTATCCAGTGTCGCATCTCAAGTATTTTTGTGTGCGAGAAGAGGTATTATTAATTAATTGCAGTGTTATTTCTATTAAATGATGATTTATTCGTTTATCAATTTATATTTTTTTAGGTTATCTTCCATGGATCCTTCCTCGGCGTCTATTTGGTCATTTATCAGCTGATCAATTAGCGACGCGTTTTTTCCATTACTTGCCAGTATTTCTAAAAAATTGGTTAATCGAATTTATTGCAAATTATACAGTTGGTCCACATCCTCAAGAATTTAAACCAAAGACTCCACCAAGCGCGAATCATCCAACTGTTAAATCGGATTTTCTTGAACGTGTTGCGATTGGTACAATTATACTTAAGCCTAATATTACTGAATTAAAGGCTGATAATTCAATCGAATTTGTTGATGGAAGTGTAATTGAAAATATTGATGTAATAATTTATGCAACTGGATATGATTTCGTTAATTTTTCATTTTTGGATAAAGAAATTGTTTCCGGTGGTAAAGAAGTTGAAAATCAATTTGGAAATGAAGAATATAAGGAAAATTTAGTTTGGTTATATAAATTTATTTTTCCACCAAGGATTACTAGTATCGCTTTTATCGGATTGGTTCAAGCAATTGGTGCTATAATGCCAGTTAGGTAAATAATGACAATTTTTTCATTTTACTTTATTTTAATTTTTTTAAAAATTTTACGTCCTTCATATTTATAGTGATTTACAAGCACAATATGCAACAAGTTTCTGGACTGGTAACTTATCTAAGACACCAACGCCTATAGAAATGGAGAAAGATATAAAGAAAACCCAAGATATTATACGAAAACGTTATTATCATTCAGCGAGACATACTATTCAGGCTGATATGATTCCTTACATGGATGAATTAGCAAAAGATATGGGTTGTTTACCTTATCCATCGAAAGTATTATTCAAATTTGGTCCAAAATTGTGGAAATTAGTCCTATTTGGCGTACCAACTCCTATTCATGTAAGTTATTCCTTTATGTGATTGAAATATTTTGTTTAGGTTTTTTGACATCCTTTCTTGATATATAGTATCGATTACTTGGAAGACAATCTTGGGATGGTGCTGCTGAAGCGATAAGGATATACAATGGATGCAAACCCTCACTATCAACTTTGAAGAAAAATAAATAGATATAAATAAACATAATTTATATATTTATATATTATATATATACAGTATATATAATAATACTTTTTGGATGTTTATTTAATAAAATAAAATGATCAGTTCTCTTTTTTTTCCACTATCCACTTCATTTTACGTTGTTTAGTTTTAGAAAGTCCGTGGTCTTATTCCGTGGATATTTAAAATAAACAAATGGGAGCGTTTCCAGTAAAATCACATTACGGATCATATGATTTACTATGCCTCATAACTTGATTTTACTGGAAACGTTCCCAAATAGTTTAATCTCAAATTCAAAATTACCTAAAAATAGTTTAGAAAGACATCTTATCTTACCTTACATATTTAGAATATGGTAGTTATTTTGAAAATTACTATAAGAAAAGGATTATAACAAATGATAAATTCTTTTAAAATCAAAGAAGAGATAAAAATAAAAAATAAAATAAATATATGCTTATAGGATCAATAATCAAAATAAAGTTAATAGATACCAATAGTTTTTTGTTTATTTTTCTGCAGAAGAAAATTTTTTTTAATAAATAAATTTCTTATTTAGAAATTACTTATTTAGTAATGATAATTAATCATTTTACAATAATCTTTTGATTTACTTGACAAGAATTTTTAAAAAAAGAAAGAATAAAATAATTTTTATTTTGAATTTAAAAAAAATATAATATTTATATACTCCCTACCCAAAAGTATCCGACTACCCCTGCAATTTATAAATCTATGGTAATCACGCAAGATTTGTGCAACTTAAAAAAAATATTAATTAACATATGATGAACAGGTGATTGTTACACACTTTTCCCATGTTTCGTTAAAATTTTTTTTCTTTATACATTCTTTAAAAATGACTAAAAAGAAAGAGCTCACAGTTACTGAACGTGGAATAATTATCATTTCCATAAAGCAGGTTTATCTGAAAGAGCAATATATGAAAAAACAGATCACCCAAAGATGACTATTCACGATACTATTGTGATGTATAATAAAAGAGGTGTTCTTATCTCTGCATTTAGAAGTGGACAACCTAAAAAACTGACTGAACGTGATAAATGACATCTAAAAGCTATTATTTGTAAGGAAAGGCGTGAACCTGTACAGAAAATACAAGAAAATTTCACAAACTCAACTGGAAAGAAAGTAAGTAATAATACCATACGATAGGCACTTTATGAAATGGGGTATCATAGTCGAATTGCTCTTAGAAAACCATATATTAGCAAATCAAATAGGCGTTTTTGATTAGTGGTGTTAAGAAAGGCATTCCTGAATAATAAATGATTGGAAGAAAGTAATCTGGAGTGATGAGTCTAGATTTACATTATTTCAAAATGATGGAAAAGTTCATGTTTGGCATTTTCCAAAAAAGAAATATGATGTTAATTGTCTTGTTCTAACAATAAAGCATGGTGGTGATGGTGTAATGATGTGAAGGTACTTTTCTTGGTTTGGCATGGGTCCTTTGGTAAGAATCAATGGTCAAATTAACAGTGAAAGGTATATAGAAGAAATATTGGGCTATAATGTGATACCATTCTTGAAGGAATTTGAAAAAGAAAATGGCAAGTATTTCTTCTAGCAGGATAATGCATCAATACATACAAGTAGGCAAATACGAACTTTCATAAAAGAAACTGATATAATTCTTTTACCATGACTGAGACAAAGTCCTGATCTTAATCCCATCAAACATATTTGGGATGAACTTGAACGTAATGTCAGATCAAGAAAGGAAAATCCAAAAAATATAAATGAATTGAAAATGTTTTTGCAGGAATCATGGTCACAAATTTCTAATAGTGTTTATCAAAAGCTAGTTGGCAGTATGAAAAACCAGATAAAAGCAATCTTAAAGTCATGTGGTTTTTCAACCAGATACTAATAAGCATTTTGAGTAAAATTTTATGTTGACATACTTAAATAATTAATGCATTAATTAATTTTTTCTTTAATTTTTCTTTAATTTTTAGTAAAAATTTTACCTATATGCTAACCACAAATTAGATTATATTTTTTGAATTTTTTTTTCAAAATATTATTCAGAATTTAAAATTTTAAATAAATATAACTTTAAGTTTTATGTTCATATAATATTTTTTTAAAAAATGACATGTGAATTTTTATTTATTTTAGTTAAAAACGATACTTAAAAATATAACATATTAAAACATTTTATTTTTGGTTAAAAAATATATATAAAGCATTGAGAAATATTTATAATTGCATAAAGATATTATATTTATTTATTAGAGTTCGATGAAAATCATTTTAATAAAAAATATACGTGTTTTTTTTGAAATTTTTGAGTGGTCAGAGTGGTCGAATACTTTTTGGTAGGAGTGTATATAGTTGATTTTTTTTACAAGTGAATATCCCAAATTTAATTAAATAAAATAATTGAATATAATAAAGATATTATACCAAATATAATAAATGAGACTTTTGTTAATAAAGATTTTATATAATGAATTTTTATATTAAATTTAAGAGATATAGTAAACTTTTTCTTATATTATTATTAAAGGAAATATATATTATTAATAAAGTATAAATTAATAATTTATTCAAAAAATCTTATTTTTTTGCAAGTTACTATGAATTTATAATCAATAAAAATTGAACTTCTAAATATATAATAAAAGATGTATAAATGTTAAATAATCCAGTTTCAGCTGTGGTTTCAGACCATATGGGAGCTTTGCAGTTGTTTTCGGGTTAATGTTAAATCTCAACTAAAAAAATCATATTTAACTTATAAAGTAAAAGTTTACCTTTCTACTGCAAAGCACCCAATATAATTATTTAATAAATGGACGTAACGTGATTTTAATAGCAAACCGCCAATTATTTCATGTTATATGTCAGTTCACGTGAAACGCACGGACTATTTTAATCGATCCTATCAGGAAATCTTGGAAAATTCGAGAAATTAATGTTGAGATGCCACGTTTCTCGTTTTTCATGATCTTTCTTTATGTTGATAATCTCTCCAATACAATAAAGACATTTACATAATTATCTTATCCAATCAATTATTGACACATTCGATGTATTAAAAAAAAATTCTCTATATAAACACACTTTTTTCCCTCCGAAAAAAAAAAATTTTTCAATTACGGAATCTTTAATTAATCCAAATCAATTGTTATTTCTTTCCTCCTTTGTGTGATTGAACAAAATGAAGTCTAAAATTTGGCTACTGTTATTGATATCATGTTTAGTTAGTTTTATTTTATTTTCATCAAATAATGTTGTTTTTGCCGAGGAAGGTGGTGAACAAGAAGACTCGGTGAAACAAGTTATCAATGATTCTGAGGAAGCACCTAAATTGGTTATTCAAGGTGAAAATAGATTTGGTTTTACCGAAGAAGAAGCTGACAAAATTAAAGCTACTGAAGAAAAATATACATTTGAGGTAAGGAATTTTATAAGTAAATACCGTATACTACCGAAAATAAGCATCCGCGATGACTTTCTTCTATTGAATTTTTCTAATTGTCACGTGAATTAAATAAAATATGGGAGCTTATTTTCGGTATTTTTATTTGGTAAAAAACAGATATTGGATTAAGGTATCGCATATATTCAAGCATAAATTATTATAACAATTTTAAATTTGTTCATCTAGACCGAAGTTAGCCGATTGATGAAACTTATCATCAATTCATTATACAAAACGCGTGAAATTTTCTTGAGAGAACTCATTTCCAATGGTAAAATCAATTTTTGTTATTTTGCTTGTTGTGCTGCGCTACTTGATCCTAAATTTTTTTATCCATTTACTTTAATAGCCTCTGACGCCATTGATAAGATAAGGTTCATGTCGCTTACAGATCCCAATGCATTATCGGCAGCACCAGTTTTAAACATAACGATTTGGGCTGATAAAGAAAATAAAGTATTGACAATTTCAGATAGTGGTATAGGGATGACCAAAAAACAACTTAAAGAAAATCTTGGAACAATAGCAAAATCAGGAACCTCGGAATTTTTAAGTGCAATGGAAGATAAAAAAGCCGATATGAATTTAATAGGACAATTTGGTGTTGGATTTTATTCGGTATTTTTGGTTGCTGATAAAGTAATAGTTACAACTAAAAACAACGAAGATAAACAATATATTTGGGAATCGCAAGCTGTTAATGATTATACTATAGCTGAAGATCCTCGAGGAAACACTTTAGGTCGTGGTACTCAAATTAAATTATACCTCAAAGATGACGCTTTGGAATTCCTTGAAGATGGTGTCTTACGTAGCCTTATCTTAAAATATTCCGAATTTATTAACTTTCCTATTTGGTTATGGACAAAACAAACTCAAGTTGTTGAAGTTGATGAAGAAAACATTGAACCAAAGACATCGAATGATGATAATAAAGATGATGATGATTTAGATCAGCCTGAAATTGTAGACGTGCCTGATAAACCCGAAGAAGAAAAGAAAGAAAAAAAGACCGAAACTATCGAAGTACCAGGATGGGAGCTGATGAATACTCAAAAACCTATATGGTCTCGTGACCCAAAGAACGTTACTGAACTTGAATATGAAAATTTCTACATGTCGTTCGCGAAAGATAACAATCCACCTATAGCTTGGACTCATTTCAAAGTACGTAACAATTCGTATGATTTTTTTTATATTTGAAAAAATGATAAATTTTTAATTTAAGCAATCCTTATAGGCTGAAGGAGAAGTTGAATTTAAGGCCATTGTGTATATTCCAAGCAAAGCCCCGGAGGGTCTGTTCCAAAAAGTTCAAGATTACGCGCGTAACGTGAAATTATTTGTCAAACGCGTCTTTATCACTGACGAATTCCTTGATTTCGTTCCAAAATATTTGGGTTTTATTCGCGCCATAATTGACGCCGATGACTTACCGTTGAACGTATCGCGTGAAACGCTTCAACAACACAGGACTCTTCAATTGATAAGGAAACGTATAATCAAAAAATGTTTAGAATTAATTGCAGATTTAACAAAAGATGATGAAAAATATGAGAAATTCTTGAGTGAATTCGGTACAAGCTTGAAAATTGGAGCTATCGAAGATAATAAAAATCGTAAAAAGATTGCACAAATCTTAAAATTCCCGAGTTCGTATAAAGGGGCAAATTCAACAACTCTTGATGATTATATTAGTAGAATGAAAAAGGGACAAGATAAAATGTAT